GAAGTCCACCCATTTTAAAGCATGCTTGACTGGGGAATTCTGGGAGTGGAAGTCCACCCATCTCAAAGCCTTCTGGCTGGGGAATTCTGGGAGTGGAAGTCCACCCATCTCAAAGCCTTCTTGGCTGGGGAATTCTGGGAGTTGAAGTCCACCCATCTCAAAGCCTGCTGGCTGGGGAATTCTGGGAGTGGAAGTCCACCCGTCTCAAAGCCTGCTAGGAGGGAATTCTGGGAGTGGAAGTCCATCCATCTTAAAGTCTGCTGGCTGGGGAATTCTGGGAGTTGAATATAAATCTTCAACTTGCCCAGACTAACAGATAACAGATAACCAGAGTTGGAAGGGACCTTGTAGGTTATCTAATCCACCCCCCGCAACCTCCCACCCAAGTGGGAGACTCTACACCATTCCAGTCTCTTCTTGAAAGCGTCCCGGGATGAAGCTCCCACAACCTCAGTTCTTGACTTACGACCATAATTGAGCCCGCAATTCTGGTCGTGAGTCACGACAGTCCTAAAGCGAGTCACCCTGTGATCGAGCCCAGTTTTACGCCCTTTTTCTTTTAACCGTGGTTGTTAAGCAAAACACCCAAGGCTTTCTAAGGGAGCCCATTGTTTTGGCCAGAAGCCTCTGGACTCCTGTGTCTTGAACCCTGGACCCGTGGAGGACTAACCTCAGCTCTTCTTATTGTTTTCAAAATCCTTTTCTCAATGTAGAAGCCGTGAACAACATTGTGAAGTTCCTTGGCATGCAACCCTGCGAGAGATCGGACAAAGTGCCCGAGAACAAGAATTCCCACACACTCTACCTGGCAGGTACAAAAAACCCATTGGGAAATTAGGTGTGTGCATGCGTGTGTGTGCGTGTGCAGGGGTAGGCTTCAAAAGGGGTTCTCTGCCTGGTTGCTTGGTGGGCGTGGCCATGGTCGGCCTCCTGCACCACAGTGGGGCGGGGGACATTTTCACCCTCCCCTCACTCCTGAGGCTTTCCTCGAGCCTCCGGGAGGGTGAAAACGGCCTCCTCAGGCTCAGGAGGCCCTCTGGAAGCTGGAAACAGGCCCGTTTCTGGCCTTCCGGAGCCTCAGAGAGGCCCGTTTTTCACCCTCCTCACGCCTCCGCGCACTTACCTGCATCCAAAACAGGCCATGTGGGGACTCCGGGGAGGGGAGGAAGGGGCGAGTGGGGCCCGCCAGGGGTGGGATTTGCCAGTTCGTCGAACTAGCCATAAAATTTAGCTACTGGTTTGCCACTCAGCCAGTATATATGCCTAAGGCAGAACTAGAACTCACCGTCTCCCGGGTTCTCGACCTGCACCTTGATCACTGGGCCCTACGGCCGAAGGTGAGGCGGGAGCACCAGCTCTAGGCCACCGCAACCCTCTATCTTAGGGCCTGCCACGGTCTTCCCAAAGGGATTGACCGATAGAGGTGGAGGCTCTTGCCTCACAGTCAGGAGGCTGTGGGTTCAGTCCTGGGTAGAGGCAGATATTTCTCTCTGGGCGCAATGAGAATATATTTACGGAACAAAACTCCGCATTGGTGACAGGAAGGGCATCGGGCCAGTAAACACTCAGCTCCATTCAGTTGCTTAGACTCCACCGTGGGATGATGGGGCCGTTAAAAGATGACGATAGAAGAGCCTAAGATAGGACTGTCTCATTTCTGCTGAAATCTTGAATCCCAGCCTACCTTCTCTCATTTCTCCCACCCCGCCTCTCCCTCCACCCATCCCCAGGTTTGTTCAGAGGTGGCTTCGATGTCCTGGTCAGAGCCCGGCTCGCTCTTGGCGACGGCGTGACAATGCAGGTTACCGTCCGAAGCATCGTAGAAACCCCCGTGGACGTCATCTTGGCTTCCGTCGGCTAACGGTCGTAACCCGAGGCTGCCCCGTCCCCGACTCCTCTTCCGTCGGACAAGGCGCCACCCGGATCCCGGGGGGTGCGTTCGTTCAGTTCGTTGGGCGATTCCCTTCGATGGTTATTGGTCTTTCAAGGAATGTTGGCGTTCCTTTTTCGGCGTGTTCCCCCCAAAGGCGAGGCAGAAACTCTGCCGCATCTTCCTCCCGGCTATAAATTATTGCCTTTGCGAGTAAGATTAGATGGAGGGGGGTCTAATGGAGGGGGGGGGCATTTTTTTTCTTTCTTTTTTTTTTAAAAAAAGAGCAATTTCTGGATTGGATTTTGATCGGCCGCCAATAAATGGGCTGTTTTCAGCACTTCCAGATGTTTTCGTTGGGTCTGAATAATGAAATGCACTTGATATATACAGTTTCCCCAAAAATAGGACCTAAATTTAGCACAAAAACAGTTTTGTATATTTGCCCTGAGAGAGTGGCCCCACTGGAAAAAAAAAACATCGTAAACAGTGCTACCGTTTCGTCGAAAATATATGACCTATCCCGAAAGTAAGCCCTAGCTTGATTTTTAACCTCTGTGCCCAAAATAAGCCCTAATTAAGACCCCACCCACTCCAGAGGATGGAGCAGCCCTACTACTTACCTTTGGACAGGTGTAGCCAGGCCTCGCACACCCCGACATCTGCCTTGCCGGTCCATTTCTTCTGCAGCCGGCAAGGCTGGCAATTCTTTCCTGAAGGCCTCTGGAGCGGAGAACAAAGCTCTGGATCGATCCTGAAGCCTTGCCGGCCACAGAAGAGGTTCCTGAAGGTCTCCGACAATGAAAAGGAGGCCGGGGGGCAGTGGATGAAATCAGTGGATGAAATCCCCCGAAAATAAGACCTGGTGCCTTTTTTTTGGTGGCCAAGAAAATAGAAGACAGGGTCTTATTTTCGGGGAAACATGGTAGAAAGGAGTGGGGTTTGTGGAGAAGAGGAGGACTGTGGGGGGCCTTGGTGGTCTTCTGAGCTTGGTCGTTAGCCTGACAACCCTCGAACCCAGTACCTGCTTTTTGCTCGGAGGCGGGGGCCGTGGCCGGCGGCACGGACCTCAGGTCGAAAGGCTTCTGACAGGGAAAAGGAGGTCAGGGGGCGACACACGCAAGTGAGGTTAGTTGGTGGAGGATGTCCCCTCAAAATAAGACCTGGTGCCCTTTTTGCTGGCAAAAAATAATATAAGACAAGGTCTTATTTTGGGGGGAAAATAAGCTTGAAAGTGTCTGGGCTCTAACTCTCGAAGCTGGCTGGGGAATTCTGGGAGTTGGAAGTCCAGACCTCTTTAAAAAGTTGTTAAAAGTTAAAAAAAATGATGGACCAAAAGCAACTGAGGGAAAGACCTTGGGGTGTTTCAGCTTAGGACAAAAGCAAGTAAGCCCTCAACTTACGACCACAGAGAGTCCGCGACTTACGACAGTTCGCTCAGTGACTTTTTGGAGTTACGACGGCGCTGAAAAAAGGGACTTGTCCATTGTTTTTCACCCTTACGACTGTTTCAGCATCCCCCTGGTCACTTGATTGACCTTCAGGTGCTTGACGACTGTCTCGCGTTTATGACGGCTGCAGTGTCCCCCCGGGGTCACCCAATCCCCTTTTGAGACCTTCTGACCAGCAGGGGGAAGCCAAATTCACTTAACAACCGTGCTAATTTAACAACTGCAGTGATTCACTTAACCAAGGCGGTGAGAAAAGTCTTAAAACTCACTTAATGAATGTCTCGTTTAGTGACAGAAACATTGGGCTCAATTGTGATCGTAAGTTGAGGACTAACTGTAGCTCATTTAGCGACCATTTACAAGGGGACTGAAGAAAGTGACTTAGGACCACGGCAGCATCCCCAGAGATCATGTCATCAAAATTCAGACGCTCGGCTACTGACTTGCATTTACAACGGTCGCGGGGTCCCAGGGTTGCGTGATTCTCCTTTGCGACCTGATGAGCAAAGACAATGAAGAAGGCTCACTTAACAACCGTGTGACTAACTTAACGAAAGCGGCCAGGAAGGTCGTAAACACGGGGCAAAACTCACTTAACCGGTCTTGTTTAGCGACAGAAACCTTGGGCTTGATGGTGGTCGTAAGCCGAGGACTACCTATAATTGGGGTGTGTAAAAAAGGCAGCGTGGAAAATAATTCATTCTTGACTCTTACGATTCAAGGAGCCTGGATCCGTGAGAATAATCAAAAAGAATCTCTTTATATGATGCATAGCTGCCCTCCCAAATTTACAATTTAAACGGGCTGAAAAGGAGACGAGGCAAACTTACAGAAAACGAAGCTCATCATGGCTGCCACAAGGCCGTCCTCAACTTACAGCGGTTCATTTAGCGTCCGTTCAAAGTTACAACGGCACAGGAAAAAAAAATGACTGTTTTTTTTTCCCCCCTACGCTGTATGTCCATTCCAGCACCCACTCTGTCCCCGTGATCAAACTTCAGGCCTGCGGCAAGGGACTCATACTTACGACCGTCGCGGGGATCCCTGGGGGAGCGGTGTCATGTGATTCCCAACCTTCCTAACAAGCCAAGTCGGGGTAGGGAGCCGGATTCACTTAACAACCAGATGGCTCACTTAAACAAACCACGGAGATTCACTGTGCGATGGCGGCAAGAAAAGTCGCGAAACCCGGCCCACGCACGCTTTACCAATGTCTCACCGCAACAAGTTTCGGGGCTCCGTTGGGGTCCTAAGTTGTTACAGTACTGCAATTTAAGGGCTGACCAGGTGTGGCTGAGGCAATTGAAGATGAATTGGTACTGCTCCTTTAAGACTGGGGACGGGGTCTACCCCTTTAAGAGGGGTTCATATAAAGGCAGCCATTAGAGGACAGGCCCTCTCTCCTTGTGTCTGGTATTCATTCCAGCGGTCTCCATGTAGAGTTTAAGAAGAAAATGTCAACTCAAAAAACATTTTGTATGCACATTTTATAGTTGACAACAGAAAGAAGGGGAGGGTGTCAAAAAGCAGGCGGCAGTGTGGAATCGAAAGTACATTCTGTTCATATTTTCTTCAACGACTGATTAGATCAGGGATCCCCAACCACCGGGCCGCGGACCGGTCCCGGTCCGTGGAACATTTCCTACCGGGCCGCCGGTTTGCTGGGCGCCGCCATCTTGTTTGACGAGAAAGTGCTTCCGGGTGAGCTTTTCTGGTTGGAAAGTGCCGTTTGGGTCCTGAAGGAATCCTCGCGCCTTAGTTTCATCGAAGGGGGGCGACTTCCTACGAAACTAAGGCGCGAGGATTCTTTCAGCATCCAAGGCAAGGCGAGCCAAGCGACCGTCCCAAAGCCGTCCCGAAGCGAAGCCCATCGACAAAGGTACAAAGGAGGAGTTGGAGGTGGCGGGGAGAAGCGGGGGATGGCTGGCTGGCCGGTCGCTCGGCTCGCCTTGCCTTGTCATGCGTGCTGATGCCGGTACCGGGCCGCGGATCATTTTGTAATGCCGGTACCGGGCCGTGGCGCAAAAAAGGTTGGGGGCCACTGGATTAGATGACTGAAGCTTCTGCCACGCAGAAATCTAATTGGAGAGCAAGATTGATGACTCTTGGCTATGGACGTGTTTCGTTGGAGGATACACCCAGAGAGTTGAAGGGAAAAGCGGGATCAAGGGTGACGGTGAATTCCGTATCTCAGCATTGGCTACGCCCAGGTTACTGCCGGAAGTAGAATAATAACTTCAAATAAATCCTCTTTAGTTTTTGGGAGGGTGGCTCAAGGCTCGTGATTTAATTGGAGTAACTGCCGGAACCCTGACCGGAAGATTGTGAGGTATTTTGCCTACCACGTATATGTCTGTATATAAGTCTCTGTGCTGTGTTTTGCTCCGGGGTTGTCTCACAATAGCAGTCATGCTGCAAACGCTCGGACATAAGGTGACGACTGCCGGTAGCTTGTGCGCTGAACGACGGGGGCAAACGTTCTGTGTCAAAAGGCGCCGAGTAACAAATTTGATGAGTTTCATAACAGCAGAGTTCCCCAAAATATCCCATGTCCTGGGACACCACAAAAACTGTCTAAAATATGAGTCAGGTGCCAAGCGTCCGAAGTTTGATCACATGACCGCAGGGATGCCGCAATGGTCATAAGTGTGGGAAAATGCTCACAAGTGTGAAAAAAGGCTTGTAAGTCCTCTTTTCCATTGCCGTTGTAACTTCGGTCATTAAACGAACTGTCGTAAGCACAGGACTAGCTCTACCGTTATCATCCCGATCCTGATGGGCCCTCCTCATTTCGGCTCGTTCGTTCACCTGGTCTTCCTCTCCCCGCATCCTCCAGAGACAGTCTATTTTTGGAGGGGGGGGGGAGGTCTCCCTTCCAATGCTGCAGGCCCCTCCACCAATATCCCCCCCCCCGCCAATCCGTCACCTAGATTCTATCAATTGCACTCGCCGACGCAGCGATGGCTTCAAAGGCTGGTTCACCGCCGTCCGGAGTTTCGCCTCGCGCTCTTCCCACACCTTTCCTATTGCTCCAGAGTTCCAAATTTGTCCTCCGAAGAACGGGAATGCTTTCCGTCCGTCGTGTTGGTGGCTCAGAAGGAGTTGATGAAGTTTAAGTAGGCGTTCAGAAAACCCTGAGGCTCCTCCAGTTGCGGATAATGGCTGATGTGATCATCCAGCACCGTCACTGTCGACGTGGGAAGCATCTGTCTGTCCCGCCCCCCACAAAAAAAGACCAGAGGTTATGGGGTGCTCCTTCCAAAGGGGCACGGGGAAGAGGAGGAACTAATTTAGTTTAGTTTATGTATTGTCATTGCACCCCGTACAATGAAATTAAATACCATCTTCGGTGCACATCGTGACCATGAAAATAAACACAAACACACATCCTTCACATTCTATACATCGAATTGAAAACTCCTGATATTGCATTAATATTGCACCATACAGCAGAATTCAACAGAGCTCCTGCCCTGGGATAGAAGCTGGTTTTCAGCCTATTTGTCCTTGTTTTTATTATTGTCCTGTACCGTCTGCCAGAGGGTAATAGTTCACAAAAAAAGGGGTGCCCAGGATGAGATGGATCTTTAAGAATGTTTTGAACTTTCTTAAAAGCTCTTCCAAAGAGGGGAGAGGGCAACCCATGATCCTCGGGGCAATGACATTCACCCTCTGGAGTGCTGTCCTATCTGCCCCGGTGCAATTGGCAAACCGGTGCAGAAAGTTAAGATACTCCCTCTGGTGCAGCGGTAGAAGGTCACCAGCAGTTTTCCATTCAGTTGTTGTTTCCTGAGAAGTCTCAGGTAGTATATATTCTACTACCGACTTCACCAAGCTTTAAATTTTGGGCTTGGACAACCTTGAACTACGCTGCCTACGGTTGGACTTTAAGCGTAGTACACAAAATGATCTGCTACAATGTGCTACCAGTCAATGACTACTTCAGCTTTAACCGCAACAACACAAGAGCACACAACAGATACAAACTCAACCTAAACCGCTCCAAACTCGATTGCAGAAAGTACGACTTCAGCAACAGAGTGGTCAATGCCTGGAATGCACTACCTGACTCTGTTGTTACATCCTCTAACCCCCCCACTCCTTTAACCTTAAACTATCCACTATTGACCTCACCCCATTCCTAAGAGACCTGTAAGGGGGCGTGCATAAGTGCACCGTCGTGCCTACCGTCCCTGTCCTATTGTCCCCATTTATTCGTACCTGTTTCCTGTATTCCTACTCATGTTTATACTTATACCTATTATCTTGTGATTGACAAATCAAATCAATCAATCAAATCAAATCAATAAAATATCATCTCTGCTGGGCCCTTTTGACCAGGGCTGCAATGTGAGCCCCCCCAGGTCAGGTCCTCTTTTAGGGTAACACCCAGAAACTTCAAACTGGCCACTTGCTCCCCTCGGTCTCCCTTGAGAAGCAAAGGGCTGGAGGTCTGATCTGTTCCTTCT